GACGATGATGATGATGACGATGATGACGACGATGATGACAATGTTGATGATGGCGATGACAACGAAGAGGACGATGGCGGTGATTTCGATGACGGCGATGATGTCGCTGATGATGATGATGCTGTTGATGACGTTGATGATGTTGATGATGATGTCGATGATGATGACGATGTTGATGACGGTGACGAGGTTGATGATGATGTTGTTGATAATGATGATGATGTTGATGAAGATGATGATGATCACGATGACAATGATGGTGATGATGATGATGATGATGAAGATGATGACGCTGATGGTGGTGGCGACGATGATGGTGATGATGGGGGCGATGATGTAGTGATGATGGCAAGCAAGAATCACGGGGCCGCTCGCGAGGAAATAACGAGCGGGAATGAGAAGGGGACACAAAAACCATGTGGCCCAATGTCACCGACATCCTTTCCCTCCGTCCCCGCGACTTGAAACAGGTGGCGCGACGCGGCCGCTCCCATGGGCCGGCAAACATGCCTGACACGAGGGCAGGCAAAACAACACTTTACGTTGAAGAGGGCACAACGCACACGATGGCGCTGCTCTTTGACGGCTTACATTTCTCTCTGAATTATCATGTGTGTGGCATCGAGTCAGACTCTTCGAACTTACAGAAGGATCTGCCCCTTTGCCAAGGTTATTTCTTCAGAATAAAGAGCAGAAAGAGACCGAGTCACCTGAACTTACAGAACAACTCGGTCTCCTCGTTCAGAAACCAAAGAAACGGGTAAAACCCCAATGAAAACAAGGCAACCCAAGACACCAAAACTTATTGAGCRCCCTGAGCCCCTGAAAATCAAGCACAATCAAACCCCTCACAGGTCAGAGCAGTCAGGCCACCTAAACTTATAGAACAGCCTGACCCTCCATACAGACCACAGCACTAGGTCTCCCCAAACTTATGGGGACATCCCAGCCTCTAGAGTAATCAGACCCCCTAAACTTATAGAAGGGTCTGACTTCTCCATGCAAGATCAAAATAAAACAAAGCGCTGGGGTACCCGAAACTTATGGGGACTCCCCAGCCTTAATGATCCAGTCAATCATCATGTGAACCATCCCACTGTCCTGCCTTTCCCARATACAGTTCCTTTCAACAATCTGATTTCACACAATCAACAAGGTTGAAACTGAGATTTCACAAACATTCATTTATTTAGCCTGGGTTAGTCTCCTGAAAGTCAAAAAAAAAAAAAAAGATAAGGCTGCACACCATATATTCAGTCAGAGATGCAATGTATTAGGAGATACAAATAGGGGTTANAAAAAAAAAAAAAAAGATAAGGCTGCACACCATATATTCAGTCAGAGATGCAATGTATTAGGAGATACAAATAGGGGTTATATTTGGGTTTATAAAGGGGAGAGTAATGGTTACCTTTCAATTTCCTGCCTCCAGAGCCTCGCCTAGGCTCCGGCAGAGCTCCCACAATCGGTGGGGCAATCTCCTATACAGGCCTTGGCGCGGATTACGGGTTGCAGTCCCGCCTGCCGCCTTCCTCTCCAAACCAACAGACCAGACTTAGACTTAGAAAGGCATAAATAGGGGTATGAGACTCTCAAGATCCAAGAATGGTACACTGGGACTCGCGTGACAGGGCCTCATTGCCTTCAACGCCTGAGGGCCCGGCAATGGCAGGCAGTGCCTGACAGCTGGGTCAAAACTCCGAAAGTACCGTTGGAGTCGAGCCTTTATCGAGCCCTTTAAATCGCAGTATTAGCCCCCTCTCCTGTCCAATCCTTGTCTGATCACAGTTGCACGACAACCCCTAACAACCCCTATGCATAGCCTAATACCAGTCATGGCCGAAAGATAACTGGCCGTTGTCATAACCTGTCCGCACCAGTAGCTCGCACGCGTTCATAAGTGTTGCAGTAAGCCCGTGGTACAGACCAATGACGCCGCAGACCAGTGGCATACAACAACTTAACACAACAGGCCCCTATCAGCCAGCTGCAGTTTGCATCCTTCAGAGCACAGTCCACGGCGGGAATCTGTGCCTAGTCCATAGCAACCACAGTAGTGCGTGCCCAGCCCTGCTGCAGAGGCCTGTGCTCAATCTTCAGCGGCCCACAGTTGCACTACCCTCCCAGCGATCAGTCTTGCAAAATCAGCAATCAGGTGTGCCCCGAAAGTCGGGTGGATACTCAACCCAGAGGCCGCTTGATGGTTCCGCCAACAGCAAGCACGGGCCGAATGTTGGAGACCGTAATAGTCCCAGAGCTGCAATAGCAGCCCCCCCTCCTTTCGTTGACCACTCAGTCCTCGTATTCACTCCCACCTATCTGAGCACGAAGGGAATAGCGACGGCTACGACTGATCGATCCACCTCGCTACCCTCTTTGGCAGATGGATAGAGGAAGGTCAACTCCGACGACGAAACGAACAAACGTATTGGACGACGGGCAAGTCCCCCTATGGGTCGCTCTCTGCTACTTGCTCGGTAGAATGAGCCAACTCGAATGAAACTTCCASCAGGACGTGGAAAGATACATCGATGCTACTATATACGCGAAAGTCGGGGTGAGGTTGCGTCTTCCCGCTTCACTGATCCTCCCTTCCTCGAATGCACCCGGCCGTAAACGCGCGCCAGGTTCCTTTGCCCAGCCTTAACTGTTCCCTCCACTCTTACGAATGAACCCGGTGTGAGGAAACCCGGGGAGGGGCGCCTACTGTTCGCTGAAGCCAAGGGCAACAGCGCCTGTCACTCGCTGTGCCCGCTTCCGAGGTCCTCAGCGATCAGTAGGGGATAGCGTTCCGACTGTCTCCCAAGCGTCCGCTGTAGCGGGTTTAAGAATTCTCCTTTTCAC